ATTAAATTCAACAAAAATAAATAAAACATTTTAATTTTGACTTTGTCATTATGTTTATGAGAATTTTTATATTATATTTGAAATTTAAATCTGATTAAAAATTATGTAAAAGTGAGCTTTTAAACCCTATTTAAAAAACTTGGGCTTATTTCAAACTTGTCTTCATTTACCTCAGAGTAAAGAATTACATAGACACAAGTTCACCAAAATAAATATCAAAGTCAAAAATACTAGAGCGATTTGCTGTATAAGTCTGTATTTTGCCTTACATATTGTTTACTTTCTAAGAATAAAAGAAATTTACTTAGTTATAAACTATATAGAATCTTTTATACTTTTTAAGCATTTATTATGTTTTTCCCATTGAAGGAGAGATAGCTTAATATTAGGTTATTAATTTACTTTCTTTATTTTAACAAACTTTGTTAGCTATTTTTATTTATAATCATTTATTTACATACCACTCACAATCAGTATACAAATGGTCATTTGTATTAAAACGTTATTGTCTGGCTTCATGTTTAGTCCTAAAACTCTTGTCTATATTATTCCTTAGTCTGAGACCAGACACATTCTAAAAACATCAGACTAAAACTGGCATGACTCATACAGGAAAATCATTATACATAGTAACTTTATTGTATACCATCGAATAATCAAAGTTTCGTGCACTATTTTAATTGTAGGAGAATATTAGAAAATATATCTCAATTTTAAAGTAATTCCAATTCTCGAATCGTGATATGCGTCGCAACTCGCAATAATATATTAAAGCGTCATTGAATACGGATGTTAGTAAAAAATCGATGTAATTTCTAAGATCCAAGCCGCAAGGTCACTTTAAGAAGAATGTGTTATGGAATGTAGAAGTTATTTTCTTATTTCATCTCTTATTCACTAGTAATATAATTAAAATCTTAAGTAAAATTGTTTATTGTAGTAACACTTACCTGTGTTAAGATTTTCACGAAAAAAGACTCGGCGCAACACGCGGTATTTAACACGAATCACTGGGCACTGAAAATTGAAATGAAAGCAAAAATGCCAGAACAATTTTGCCGCAAAAAAAAAAGAATTGTCTATGCTAAATGTAGACGCCAAGAAAAAGGTTTTATATTTATGTTAGTTAAAGTTAGCTGTGTAAATTTGTTGTTTTTATTTTACTTATTTTAGTAAGTAAATTACAAAATAAAAATTATATTTGGATTAGGTTGAACATTCTATATCATCATCATAACAACTTACCACATGTAACCAATACTAAAAATACTATTTTAATAAAAACTTAGAGGAGGGTAATAATTTAAACTTTATTTTTCAGAAGGGTTTTAAGTCAGAATAGTAAATTTAGTTCATGGATGACAAATAAAATAGATGAATTAGTTCCATACGAGCTCTTGGTGCATCTATCTATCCCTTTCATTTGCTTGGTAACTAGCATGCTATCTCTACATTTGGCGACAACGAGTGGGACAACAACTTATTTCTGTCGCAGTTACATACGTCACTACTGTGACGTCACTGCAATATTTTGTCATTTTTGAAATATTCAAGTTTTAACCGTCGTTATTACTCGCCCCTGGGGACTAGGGTGTGAGGGCTTGCCGTTTTTTATATTATTTTACACTTAAAATTTACATTTTATCAATTTGTAGATTAGTATTAATTAATGTGGATAAGTGCTGATTAATGTAGATCAGTGATTCAGTGATATAGTTAAGATTTGTGCTTGGATACAAAATGTGTTATTTCTTCATTAGTGTTTCTCTTCCTTTTTTTGGTTTTTTATTAATGTTGTGTAATCATGGGAAAGCATTGTAATTCCGAATTGTCAGGAAGGAACAGAAGGTTTTTCATGCCATAGAATGCCTTATAAAGATGCACTTCAATTTTATAACGTATACTTATAGAAATTCTTATAAACGGTTTATTTCTAGAGTAACTATCTGACCAGGTTTCTGCCAATGTAGCTGCAATAAATTCATTAATTTCTGATACTAAGGTAAATATACTTTGTAGTGCCAATGATGCATCAAGTGCTATCCATTATGAAGTTAATGGGAAGTGGGAACAAAACCTATCATAAGTATGATGTACCTCATTTACTGAAATGTTTCAGTAATAATTTTCAGAAAAAGAATTTGCTCCTTGGCAGTCAGCATGCTCAATGGGATTATGTTTATATGTTGTATAAAGTAGATGACCATAAAGGTGCTGCAAGGCTAACAAACTTACTGACAGGCATATTTATCCAAACTCTTTTGTTAAGATGAAGGTAACTATATTGTTAAGTTTAGTAAATTAAGATATTATTATATTACTTTAGATCTTGGATATTATCTTTAATATGAAATTGTTTTTAAGAAGGAAACTTCTTGAAGCTATTGATATTATTATACTATTTATTATTATACTATTCTATTCTAATATGTAAAATTGAATAGTTTGTTTATTGTTTGAATGCACTTATCCATGTAATGCTCAGTCCATTAAAAACAATTTATCAACTCTATAGCCTATCTATTGTATAATGTTAACAGCTATTTAAGGGCCTAATTGGCTTATCTACCTAGACCCTAATAATACTAAACTATTACTATATTTAAATAAGCTACTATTCATCTACAGTAGTTACTAGTTCATATACTATATAGTTATGGTGACTATTTGTTGTATTACATTAATTTATTATAATAATATATTTACAGGTGAAGTATATGCTGCGCAGGTGTTTCAGCAGTTGAAGTGTTTCAACATCTATAAGTCTCCTGATAAAGGCTTTTAGTTTCCAGGAAGAACACAATTATTGTAATACATTAAATGTAAATATTGAGAATGGCTTATTCACAGCTGAGATTATTTTATTCATTAATAATAAAATACATGATCCTTCTAAGAATCTGTCATCTCTAGTATGGTATGCAATTTACATAATTAAAAGACAATTACCAAAGATTTGTAAAGTTTACATATTTCCCGATTTAATAAAAGCATTTGAAAATCTTGATACCTCTTGGTACACTTGTGTAGATCATAGAGAAATATTTTTAAGAGCATTCTCATTATTTATGATATGTATAAAAGTTAGACATAGGTGTATAAATTTTAATTGAAGAATGCATAAAGTGGATTCGAGAAAAAAGGGTCTGGAAATAGAAAATTTGCTTAATATGAAAGTTTCAGAAGGGCCTAGCTATGGTTGAACTCATCTAGTCTTCAGAGTAGTGAATGATTTTCCAATATTTTTTCATTAATTAACTTTTAATATTTATTACTCTTGTTTGTTTCATTTCTTGGTTATTTAAAAGATAATCACTTGGAATTTTCCATTTTCATTATGTTTCTATTAAGTATAAAAATAATGTATGAATATTTCAATTGATTTCTGTGAAATAATATTATAATTTCTTAAAATATACTACTATAGCAGTATATAATTTTAATATATTAATTATAATTGTTACATTTGATAGAACTATGCATTTAGAAATTTTATTTTAGAGTATGTTTAGCTGTTATTTCTTTTTACACCAAATTTTTACTATTACTATGTACATATTGATTTTAAATTTCTTAACCTTTTAAGAAAATTAATTTTATTATTCATTTTTTACTGAAATTTGCATTTTTTTTTTAATTTATATAAGATTAAAATGTTTGTTTTTCAAATGCGCTAATCTCGAATGTTTGCATTTTATAAACTGAAGATGAAGGTGGTTCTAGAGCTAAAACTTCAAACAAAAGCTAGATTTTAATTAATACCTACAATTAAACCTACTACTCGCTTAATATGATATTGTTATTAACAAAAACTATTGTTCTATGTTACTTCTAATTTTATTGCATTGTAATATTTTATACCAAATCGTTGTATTAGTCTTCGTCTCATTGTTATTATCTTTTGTATTTTGTATTCAATTGATAAAATTCTTTAAAAATGTCCTTTTATTGTAATAACAATGTATTATAAATGTTAAGAAAAAAAAGGTTATCCCGTCAAGGACCTCAGTCCTTGCTAATTCTTCTCAGGTCTGAGGCATTTTTCCGAACTAGTGGTAGCATTAAAATAGTAAAATAAAAAAACTAGAAACCTATCTTTGTATTTTATTTCTAATTATAATTAATATCATAAAAATGAAAACCTTACTATAAAACCGATAACAGTTGTTGAATACCGATAACATTACGATAAAATACATCCCTACTTAATCGTAATCGTAATGAATACCGATTTTTACATCACTACGAACTAAATTCTCCCAGATTCGCATATGACGTCATACCCTTAGAAAGAGATGCGTGGCGACTCAAAAGAAATACAATAGCCGTGAAAGTGACAGCATATTTTGACTTGCCATTTATGCCATAACTGTCCCCATATTAAGGCAAATTCATGACACAGCTCTAAAATATAAATCAATTTTTATAACATAAAAACCTATGTTAATAGATATTTTATGTTTGATATGAAATATAATTAAAATATAAGATATTCGATAATAGTTAAAATCATTTAGAATATAATTATATAAATCAATATATAGCACATATGATTTATAAAAAAAAACATTTTAAGCATATTTAACTTAAGTATATTTTATAATATAATAAGATATTAATTAACATATCCCATGTAGCTATTTTTAATTTATAATGGTTAAATAGGGAAAATCTTTCTTTGACTATCTTGACCCCCCCGGCCCCCGCTTCGTCTTATTCGCCTTCGGTTTTATGAATATGCGCTTGTATGGAGCTCGGCCGGGGCTGATTTAGTTTTACATTACTGTCCATAGATAACCTATCGGTTATATGACACCGGGATGAAGTACGACATTACTTGTCACTGTCAAAGTTTTGTTTTGCATTTTCCGTAACCGGTCTTTCATATTGACAATTGGAGATAAATAAGAAAAATTATTGTTTCTTGAGCGGTACTCGTTATAAGACGTCGTTAAAATTATTTCTTTTTAAAAAATATAGTAGAATAGAAAATAATAGCAATGACCCTGGATATATCTGCGATCGGTTCTCATAAAGTTAAAAGCATTCCTAGTGGCGAGGTAAATATAATTGAATGTATTTTATTTTATTCTTATATTTTTAGTTATTTAATACGAAATCAATGTTGATAATAATAAAAAAAAATATTTATATTCCTGCTACATATACATAATATATAAATAATATTAAAAAATATTTAAACCGTTACGATTGCGATCATTATTGCAAAATTTAATATTTACGCGATGACCTATAAATCTATGAAGCTTGAAGTCTAAATAAGTTAGAACTAGTTGTTACATAGTTCAATGTACTCCTGATCTATGTACAACAAGAAGAAAATACATAGATGAGATTTGCAAATAAATATTAGTAGTGGAATATTTTATTATTATTATTTTAGTTGTAAAATTTTTAAGTGATATAGATGGCCATATAGGCATTTGATTATAATATATCTTCAGATATTAATTTATTTTAATATTTTTTTATCAGATATTGATAACAGTTTTATCATATTATGATATTTTTTTGTATGATAACTATTATGAAGAAAAATATTATTTGAAACATCTAGAGTAGGCGATCAGCCATGAAATTTTTTTATCAGTGTGATCCTAACTAAAAGTATTGATTAGATCATAGCTTTGTTTATCATAGTTCAACTTGTTAGCTAGCTTTAACAATTAATATTTAAAACTTCTAGAGTATTCTCAATCCATATTGAGATTAATTTATAAGATCATTTATGATGAAACCAATATTTGATAAGTATTCAGTATCCAGCCCAGGATACCTGATAGTACCTTTCACAATATCTGGTTGGATACCAGATATTGATGTCTTGAATAACCTGCATGAAAAAATATATTTGTGCAGCAAATCATACAAAATTGACAAATTGACTATAGGTGATAAAAGATACTTTCACAAGAGCTTCAAGTTAAGCAAACATCAATTATAAGGGTTCCAAAGTGATTGAGCAAGTAAATAATTGATTTTTGCTGATTAATAACAACTCACAATGACACATATATAATGTATATGCAGTACGTGCGGCGCGAAAGTTGTCGCAACATGCAACGTGACTTACGGGCCGATTATTCGGCAGTCGGATAATGTCCTCTTGACCGATTTCGGCCATAGCAGTTAATCTCAGCGAGACTAGCCAGATGCGCAGGAGATATTATAGTACACAAGTGTACGCGCAGACACAAGTGACAAATCACACTATTCCTGTCACTCTACTGATGAGAGTGAAGGCACAGGACCGACGGTTTCACGTGCTCTCCGAGGCACAGGGGGTGAAACAATGCGAACTTCCCAACTCACGGCTGTTACTGAAAATTTCTTGGAAGAAAAACTCAGTCATCGAACGTGACCCGACCCAGGAACTCGAACCCAGGGCCTTCGGATCTGCAACCATACTTGCTAGCCACTAGACAGATCATCGAGGCAGTCAGATCAGTTATCTGGCGTACAGTACAAAACACTATGATAACTTTTAACTTAACTTTTGGAAATGCACAAGTGCAATTTTCTCTCTTTTCTAAAGTATACCTATTAGAAACTGTTTACGTCAATGCATAAAGATTTTTTTGGAATATTTGATTGTTTAATCATTCACACTATGAACATGACAATGAGAAGAGTCGAGATTAATATTAGCAAGATAGACCCCATGATTGTAGGGTTATCGGTATATTGTTACATGGTGTGTGATCTTCTATCACCCTGTACGATGGGACTAATTATCTTAATTTTTTTCTATAGCCAATCGAAATTTTGTCTCGAACAAGAGACATAAATAATTTAATAACACTGTAAAAGTATCAATAAAATCATAGGTAAACATATGATTACCTACATAATATGTAGTTCCACCATTTAACTTGCTATAGTTCGATGCAAATTGCAAATTTAATAACGGCTCGGATATTAGCTACGAGCGTATGTAAGCGCAGCGTCTCGTTCATCTGCGCCCCGCTGATACCTAAATATTGCGTTCTGCACATCGGAACGTATGATTTTCATAGCCGTCATTTAGTTTGAATCACACTATAACTACTATTTAGCTAGCTTTTAACATGTCCATCTGTTTATCTTTGTATTTTTTAACTAAAGTGAATTGTGATTCACTTTGTATCTCTGTAAAGGGTAAATCTTTTCGAACATGATGTTCATCATTCCTTTTTAAATCATGGAAATGAAAGTTGAGAGTGGTCCCATGTACATTTAAACTAAGAGCCAACTCGTGAGGTTGTACTATTTATTTATTATTTTTTCACCTAAAAAGTAGTCATTTATTGTACCTAACGAGTAACGAGTAATATTTAAAAAAAAATGGATATTTTTGGAAAAAACACTACTGTAGGGCGCGTTGTACATTTTATGTACTTATATCTCGCAAATCGATAGGTACTCTTATGGCGGTTTCCAACTACCTATCTATCTATTTGTGGTTTTCCTTACTAGCGTTAAGCTATCTTACTTAGGTAGGAATTTGAGCGAATTTGTGTGGAGAGTTCTGTCAGTTTCTATATCTAGTACAAAAACCTTCAGAAAATCGACGTTTTAGAACAACTTTTATATGTTTCTACACGTCTTTTCTCATCTCACCATATTATTACTAAATAATTAAGTTTTGAATTAAAAAAAAGTTATTCTTTGTTTCCAGAAAGTTTTTAAACCGTTATATGTAAATAAAGAATTCTTCGCGTACGAATGTTTTGTATAAATCGGCATGAATGACCCAATTGGTCAAGTAGTAAGGTAGAATAAAACTAAAAACATTGATAATCTCGAAATTGCTTTCACTGTCCCTTAATTAGTCCCGAAATTCACGTTAGCGAGATACGCATTAAATATATTGGGACATTAACACACAGCACGATCTAGTTCCATGGTTAGCTACGAAGCTTGTGTTATAGATACCAGATAATTGATACACTACACATATATAACTTTAAATGCATACATATTATAAATATAAACACTCATGACTGGAGTACGAACATTCGTGCTTATCAAACAAATGAATGCCTCCAGCGGGACTCGAACCCGCGACTGCTGGCACAGAAAGTAGGGTCACTACAAACTGAGCCACACGCGTCGTCAATTACCCATTAGGTACATTAAAAACATTACAAATATTAATTTTGTCTAATTATTTCCAGTCCGTGGAGCTAAAAAGTTTTTGGCAAGAACAAAATGTAGCGATCATCTTTTTCCGCCGTTGGGGGTGCATGTTTTGCAGGTTGTGGGCAAAAGAGGTAAGTTATTAAGAAGAAAAGGTCATGTCTTATGACTGGTTACGCGTGAGATTTTCATCATGATTGTTTAATAATAAACTGTAAGTAAGTATAATCAATAAGTAGTATCACTGTAAGTATAATCAATGATCAAGAATATTAGGTAATGACTAATGAAGTGAAATATTTATCAATGAAAACAAAAAATAGCAATAAGGCAATTTTGTTCATTACAGTTGGGTGAAATTGCTCCAGTTCTTAAGAAAAATAATATAAGGCTTGTTGGCGTCGGCGTTGAAGAAGTGGGCGCTAAAGATTTTATCGATGGAAAGTTCTTTGACGGTGGTAAGAAATATTTGAAGTTTACTCATATTTATTTGGTACTGGATGGTGTCTTTGCATATTTATATATAGACTAGCGGTAGCGACTCACCCTCGCTTCGCTCGGGTTCGTCTCTAAGTTGCTTCCCCATACATACTTTCACCCCCATTTTTCACCCCCGTAAGGGATGATTTTCGGGATAATAACCATTTTATGTTCTTTCCAGGGTCTCAAACTACTTCTTACCAAATTTCATCTAAATCGGTTCAGTAGTTTCAGGGCCTATTCGATACAAACAAACAAATAAAGAATCAAATTTCTCCTCTTTATAATATTAGAATAGATGGCACGACACATTATTACTTAATATGTATGTACTTTCTTAGACTCTTAAATCGTATTTTAACATACTACAACAAGTTTATGTAGATAGATGTGTTAAATTATTATTAGTATGAAATATATGTATTGACATGGCTTGTGGCTAATTAGCAGATTAATTACTGGTTCGATAATGACCCCCTGACCGATTTCGCTTACGGCCGCAAATCCCACTGAGACTAGCCATATACTCGTATATGGATATAGATAGCGTAGGAGATAAACGAAACAATACGAAAAATAATACGAAAAAATAATAAGGAACACAACGTGCGCTCTCTATTCCTTTAACTCTGGAAGTCCGATGGGACGATATTTCGACACGGGTGCATGGGGATGCAACACCGTCAATTCTCGATTCGGGGCTCGAAATGAGAATTTCTTGACTGAAAATCTCAATAACTGAACTTAGCCCGATACGGGACTGGAACCCATTAACTCCGGGTCTGCGGCTGTAAATGCTAGCCTCTATACTAGGTAACTAACCAAAGTAAATAACCATATAGAGTCAGCGTAAATATTATTTATTTATGATTATGAAGCTGTACCTACTGCCTACATATATACATAGAAATATACATAGAAATATAAATAAATAATAAATATGTTGGGACATTAACACACAGCACCATCTAGTTCCTTGGTAAGCTACGAGGCTCGTGTTATGGATACCAGATAGTTGATACACTATATATAACTTAAAATATATACTGACTGGAGTACAAACGTATGTGCTCATCACACAAATGAATGGCCCCAGCGGGACTCAAACCCGCGACCGCTGGCACAGCAAGTAGGGCCATTAAAACAGCCAAACGTGTCGTCAGAATGTATTTCATATGTATATATTTTATTTATGGAAAAATTTCTTACTTAAAATACATTTTTAGTTTTATTTAAATGCTATATCTAAATATACGCCGTTTTAAAACAACCAGTGGAACTAGTACTATCAAAGTAATTGTTGTTATTATTAGATTATAATCTTGCAAGTTGGTAAAATAATTTTCCTTATAACTAACAACTATGTATGACTAATGGAGCGAGTTTATTATGTAACTGCACTTCGTAGGAAGTAAGAACGCATTAACTTTGTTCCGTTGGTATAGTTTTTTCTATATTATATCAAAGGAAAATGTTTTACATTCAAAGGAAAAATAATATCAAAATATCTATTTTTCTGGTGCGATCGATCTGTCATAGATAATTATTAAATTTTAACGTTATGGGTGGAAGAATTGGGTTTTTTTGTATTAAAATCATCGGACTGCCATAACAAGTGCGAAAGTTTGTATGTATGTTTGTATGTTCGTTACTCCGTTAAAACGGCTGTACGGATTTGGATGAAATTAAGCAACAGACTATGATTTGTAATATACATGGGCTACAGTTAGACAAAAATTAAATTATTAGTTACTAGCAGAACCCGCGGCATCTCTCACACTAAAACTACAAAAAACCTCTAAATTGGTAGGTTTGATACAAACTTTCATGCCCTATTTTACCCTCTTATGGGATGAATTTCGAAAAATGCTAAAATACGTATTTATTTAATTGTATTAAAAAGCATTAATACCAAGTTTCGAGTAATTCTGGTCATAAATATTTTTTTAGGTAATATTATAACGTGTTTTCTCATGGGACTGAGATAATCTCCCGCGGTAAAAGTAGCCTATGTCACTCTCCAGCCCTCTAGTTATCTCCACAGAAAAAATCACGTTAATCCGTCATTCCGTTTCATGTGAAAGAAGGACGAACAAACAAACACACTTCCACATTTATAATATTAGTATGGACAGAATGGATATTATAATTTATTATTTTTCTCAATTTCAGATCTGTATTATGTCGAAGATAGATCAACTTATCAGACGCTTGGATTCAAACGTTTTAACGTCGTTTCCATAATAACTTCCTTGTTCTGGAAACAGTCAAGAGATGCCATTTCTAAAGGAAGGAGCATGGGTGAGATAATTAATCTATACATTTAATAGAATATTTAATGTAGGACATACGTCTGTCTAATCTAGGCTAAACTAGATTGAGGACCGTATGGACCTAGTCGGAGATTCGATTCTCGCTCAGGTGAATATTAGTATGGACCATAGATGTGTTTTTCTAGTCTGTTAAAGTATATAATTCGGTACTTGATACTGATACACTTTTTCTCAAATACCCTTTACTTCCAAAGGGCTTTAGAGGGTAGAATGAATACTGCTTCTCATTTAAAGTTGGTTTTTTAATGTTTTTTATTAAATTAATGTGCCTTACTTATCACCTACCTTTAAAATGCGCACACACGTTTTCTTTACATTATCAATTTATTAAAATAAATGCATTAGTCAGGCAATATATTAGAGTTTTTACGAAGTGTTAATTTGCAAATCTTAGGTTTGCATAGTGATCTAATCGGTGACGGATTACAAAATGGCGGCGCTCTAATTTTAAATAATGGCGGGAAAGTGTTACATCACTATATTTCCTTAACACCTACAGAGCGATTGCATAATTTGGATATTGCTAAGGTGCATATTTTTTATTTTTTTTAAAATTTTTTAAACTATTTTATACGTAGATTAGTACTAGGTATCTCCTACGGGACCACTTGCATAAAAAACCTTAGTTGTAGGTTTTATTAGTGAAAAAGTAAATAGAATTCGTTTAATATTTCTAAACATCACTTACATATACTAATAGAATTAGTAAAATAAATATGAATTATTAATGATATTGTAAAATAGAATTGATTCATAGTTTCTTAATACATTGGTATTGGTATGGCACTTATGTTCAACGTTGGAATAAAACACTTTTTTTTATTTTGTTAATGACAGGTAAAGACTAAAGAGTTTTTATAATAAATAAAGTACCTATACAGAAATAATTTTGCTGCATATCTTTTAAAATAAGGTCTAGATGTAAATAATTGTTGCACTCGTCACTAATATATGTATATATATCTGTATGTGTATTCAGCCCCTTTTTTAATTATTTTTTTAACGTCCCACTACTGGGCACGGGCCTCCCTTCGATATGTGGGGGATCAGGCCATAGTCCACCACGCTTGCCAAGTGCGGGTTGGCGGACTTCACATGTCTTTCGAATACTTGCTAGGATCTCTCAGACATGCAGGTTTCCTCACGATGTTTTCCTTCACCGTAAGGCAAGTGGTAATCATGTTAGAAATGATTCGCACATGAAAATATCAGAGGTGCGAGACCCGGGATTTGAACCCGCATCACTCGGTTTCCCAAGCGGGCGCGTTACCACTGGGCTACCACTGCCATATATCTGTATATTATTATGAATGTGAAAGTTTGGGTGATGTTTGTTACTCTTTCACGCCAGAACGGCTGAACGGATCTGGATGAAATTTGGCACAGACATAGATTATAGTCTGGAATAACACATAGGCTACTTTTTATCCCGGAAAAATGTACGGTTCCCGTGGGATAGGTTTGTTTTTGTTTTCCTAGAGGCGAACCCAAGCGAAGCGAGGGTGAGCCGCTAGTTTTAAAATATACAGACCACACACTGCATCTATTCTTTCATTGATGGCATAATATTATGCTAGTAATAGTCTAGTACACCACCATGCAAAATTTCATTTAAATCGGTCCAACAGTTTCGGAGATTAGCCTGTACAAACATATAAACAAACAGAGAAACAAAAAAATTTAAAAAAAAAACCGGATTTGTTCTATTTCTCTTTTTACATACAGACATTCGACCACTACAGTTTTATTATATGTATAGATGATTAGTACACAATCCTTTTCATTCGGTAAGTGGATATTAGTTCGAATTTTCTACTATAAACGCACAATTTTTTTTATTTTTAGCTTTTCGAGTACCTATATTTTTGGGCTAAAAATATACAAAATATTGAGTAAATTTCTTTGGGAAGTCTATTTTCTTCGAGTTCTATTCTTGTATAACCGATGAATTAATAAAAACAGAAAATATAATGTCGTTATAAGCAAGTGTAGTCAGTAGGTACTTTTTGTAGATTTTAAAATATTAAAGACAGAGAATTTATGAGTAATTATTTTTTACTGTAATTAATAGAAAAAAAATTTTTTTATCTCTATTGTCTAATATATATTTTTAGTTACTTAATAGTAAGTAGCTAGTTTTTATATTTAGGTCTCGGTGGGGATCTAAAAGGGGATTGGGTTCAAACTGGTGGTTTGTTGCTCGTTGGAAAAGGCGGGAAACTCATTCGCCATTTTACTCAAACTGGACCGAGTGACCATTTGTCTAACAAGGACATTTTGAAGGTTAGTTCTTTTCTATATGCAAATAAACCTGGATTTAGTGACAATTACCTTTTTCCAATAAATGTGTTAATTAGGATTTGGGAAGTCTTGACATTCTCAAAGTCCCGAGACACGAGACCACCAACGATTAAAGCCCCGGAGCGGCCCGAGACATCAAGACTTCTCAGAATAAAATTTGAATCGATTTATAAATGTTGTATATTTTATTGAACATAAAATCAAATTCTAACACCTATAACTTATTAATTATAGTCTAAACAATACGTATATTTAATTTTTATTATTACGGATTCAATTTTTGGCAAAGTAAAATCTTTTAATTATAAAACAAACTTAAAAATGCTTCAAACAACTGCAATGCTTTTTTTATGTTGGTCTTAATTTTTTTTTAAATTTTTTTTACTGTCTGTTCAATTTTACTTTGAAACGAATCTCCGGCTCGCTGTATACAGTAGAGCTACTGGTAGTAGGGTCAGCGTCTATTATTCTGCCCTTTGAATACAAGGGATATTTTCAAAAAGTCTGCAATACAGTTCTTCCGTAAAAGTAATAAGTGCAGTTTTACTTAACTAAATTAATAAAAAGTCTCGGGACCTCGAGATACGAGACATTCTGGGACCCAAACCTTAGTATTAATAGACATTATTTATGATGATTGTTTTTTTGTCTGAGCAAAATTCAACTTATTAGATTGTTCACATAAAATTAGGTTGTTAGAGTCAAACAAACTCAAATATACATTTATTAAATATTTTAAGAAATTTTGCGCTGAAGTTGGTAGTGTAATGATTTTTATAAAAAAAATAATAATTGACATACTTTATTTTTTTTCAGTTATTCGATTTGGAGAATGAATATAATGCTGAAACAATGGCGAATAAGAAAAGGGAAAATCTGGAATGCAATGTGCGTATGTTATAAATTTTATACTTAAAGATTTTTATAAGGTTTGATTTAAATTAAAATATATTTTTCATTTTAATTAAACATGTGATAATAAAATTACAAAGCCTAAGTTGTATATTAAATATCTTTTGGAGAGTTATTCTTATTTGGGATGTACTTTAATGACGAATCTTAAAAGATGTATGTATATATGTATGTGAAGTCCCGCACTCGGCCAGCGTGGTGGACTATGATCTAATCCCCCTCGTATTGAAGGGAGGCCCACGCCCAGCAGTGGGACATTTTATTATCAGTGATCACGAGTTCGTTGTGTAAGACTTTAAATGTTTTAATTAACTACTTGTATAATACTAGCGACTTACCCTCGCTTCGCTCGGGTTCGTCCCTACTTACGTTTTAACGTTTAGTATCGATTTCTCAGAGATGAGATATTTTCCCGCTGTAAAAAGTATCATATAGGATACTGTTGACCCGGATAACCGGACCGATAAAAAAGAAATTTCATCAAGATTGCTCCAGTGGTTTTTCCGTGATGCGGTAACAGATAGACTGGCAGACAGACAAAAATTCTAAAAACTTTAGATTCGGCCTCTTTATCGATAATAATGTCCATTTCAATAAGATTTTCCAAAAAATATTTAAATTACAGATTCGGCTCAGTTACAATTTTATTATATGTAGGTATACTTGTAGAATATGTGCCTATGTAGTTAAAGATGTTATTAATCGTGATATAAATATTTTCAAATTTTCAGACAGAGCCGTCTCCTTAAGACTTGGAAACAAAACTTAAAAGAATGCCCTCTTACCCCTATCCATAATATATGGGTCGAGAGGCGATGTAAGCAAAGTAAAGTGTAGTTAGTCACATACATATATATAAGTTATTTGACATATAAAATAAAAAAATATGAATTATAAAAAATAATTTAAAAACGAAACGTATGATAAAACACATTATATTAATTTTATTTTTTTAATTTCTGTCAGCATTAATGTCAGCATAAAAAAACAGGTTATAGACAATTAAATTTAAAAAAAGTCAAATATCGTATTATAAAATGCACATGTTATTGTTTATGTAATTTAAGGGTCGGTTCACACTAGATTATTTTATCTATTTGACAAATATAAAAAATATTACTGTATGACATAAGCTCTATACATATATTATAGCAAAGACTAAATTTCTTTGAATAATATATTTGTAACTCAAATTATTTAAATGGTATATTATTTATTAGAATTGGCAAATGTATTATTATTTGTGATATATTTTTTTTCTAATTGCCATTTTATTTTAATCTTCAGAAATCTTAAGAAATTCTTTTTGAGTCAAATCAATATTGGTTCAACGTATTATAAAAAATATGCTTATTTGAAATACCAAATGTTAGTATTATAATTGGAAAATGAAAATTTATACCAAAGTTTTGGCAAATGTATTATTTGTGATATATTTCTTTTTTCAAATTGCCATTTTATTTTAATTTATAAGAAATCTTTTTGAGTCAAATCAATATTGGTTCAACATATTAAAAAAATAATATTTGAAATACCAAATTTTAACATTATAATTGGAAAATGAAAATTTATACCAAAAGTTGATAGCTTATTGGATTTTAAACTATTAGGAATTGACATCAAGGAGTTGCAAAAATGTTAAGTATTATTTGTGATTTTTTTTCATGTAAAATTGACATTTTATTTTAATCTATTAGAATTTTTTTGAGTCAAAGAGAAATACCAAATTTTAGAATTATAATTGAAAAATGAAAATTTATACCAAGGTTTATTGTTGTTTATTTTAGCTTATTTGATTATAAACTATTGATGTTTTTTTAATTTATTTATATGACGGAGCTATTTATTTAGAATAGAAGAGAAAATAATGAAATTTTACTTATTTGGAATGCCAAATTATAGAATAATTATTAAGAGTAAAATAAAAAGTTTTGCTGAATTTTTGAAGATATATGTAATAAAAATTTTATATGTATGTATACCATTGATTGAACGTTTAATTATTAAAATTTCACTCAACTCGAAATTGAAGTCTTCATGTTTTAAAGAGTGTCATTAAATATAACATTTATTTGCTCAAATTGGTTATATTATATACAATTGATTATAATTTAAAATATCTTGTTACATACTTAATTATTTCAAAAAATTGTATAAACAGATTGTTAAAATGTTTATATTTGTTAACAAATTAATTATTTTATTACATATTTTATATTGTTGTTGTTTATACAATGTATTTAAATAAAAAACTTTTTTATTAATTATGATTTATTATTACAATATCTTTCTACCTACATATTATTTTTTGTGACAAAATTAGAATTATTTTTATCCTAACATAATAAATATTAAATAGTAATCTCGAACAGGAATTAGAATGGAAATAAAATAGCTACCGATATACCATTACTTAAGGACATAACATAGTATTTTACCCAAAATAGACAACAAAGATTATTGCCCTTCTTGATTTAATACTAGCATTTAATATATTTATAGGTCGTATAGGGCATACGCTTCTTTTCTTAGGTTCTCAATACGAAATACGATGTTTATTTATTTTTGGATGATGCATGAAATACCAGACCGTTAAAATAAAGGCACACAATTTAGTTATTATATCTATTAAAGTTATAATTACATAAAATATATGAATATTACAAAAATGTTATCTTACTTTTGTAATATTTTGGTTATATTTCAGTCTTTTTATAGCCGTTGTAATTCCGAGACCTTGCTACAAACATTTTACGATGTTTACCGGTACCTCGAGTCGTTATGGAACATTTATTTGACGTAGGCGACAAATAAAATAATTTTATATTATGCGCATCATAATAAATTATATGATTATCACCGTCAAAAACTAATTTGAATGCTGAATCCTTTCCAAACGCACCAACTCCAATCAATTTTCCATCTTTATAATTAATTTTATAAATACCCTTTGTGTAAGGCTGAATGAAGTAGGCGTTTTTGATATTATCTGTTGTCAAAAAGTAAATTTCATCTTCGAATAATGTCACATTTTTGGCGCCATTTTTAAGCAAATAGATCGCGTAATTGCTCATAAAATAAATATCTCCTCTTTTATCTATAATAAAATCATCTATTTGATATTTAGATAGTTCAAGAATATTTTTAGATTTTTTATTTTCATAAATGTAAAGGCCTTTTTTAAGAAATTCTGTGTAATATAACTTATTGTCGTATTGCATTTGCCATATTGTTATACCTTCAAGTCCATGCAATTTTGTTGTATTTGTGGTGGGATTGTACACATATATTCCTTTAGCTCCTGAAGCGTACAAATTCCTCGAGGATTGATCTACGGCGTACGCAAATGTGAAGGTAAGATTTTTTAATACAGTTAATTTGACATCTATCATGTCGAAAGCGCCAGTGTAGTCTTTTGAGTTATTTTGATAATGAAAATAAAGGACGTTAGATGTTCTATCGATGGCGAGTTGTCCAGATATTTTGTAACCATCGATTATTTTAGAACGAATATAGCAAACTTTATTTATACATGCGTGACAAGATATTCTCCTCGCATATGAATAAGTTGTTAGTGTTAATATTAAGAAAACGATCCTCATAGTGAATCTGTAATTAGAAATATTTGACTGAACAAATTAATGTTTAATTTAATGAATTCAAATATTAATATCTACGTAGCTTTATAACAAACAAAATATAATTTACTTGAATTAAAATACACGTTTACCTTCTTTTTTTTTAAATAAAATTTCAAGCACATTATCACTGTGTACAAGTTTTATATTTTTTTTAATGTATCATAATGTAACACTTTATACACGAGAGATGCGACAGAACTAAATACTCGTTCGTATATAATTTGTTTTCATAATATATTTACCTAACCTTTTGGCCGTATATCGTAAACATGTATTTCGTGCTGTTATCATCTGTTCTATTGAAATTACAGAAAAATAATAAACAAATCTGCAGTATTAGGAGTCAAAATAAAAAAATAATATGAAATCCGGAAATTTAACAAGACGAACATGATAGTAAGAAAAATTATAGACGACAGTGATTAGTGTAGGAATCGAATCTGTAACCAATGATACAGAAGTAAGAGTATAAATATTTTTTAACAGCACAAAGTATTAAAAAAATATAACAATAATATTATTATGAACACTTACAACCTAATTTAGTTATACCACCCGATTTCGGACTAGTGGAAGTAATCATGCTTGCTGGGAACTCTTAAAAATTATAAGTGTAACAGTATCTCATCCCTTTTTTTGTTTTTTTTTTTGGAAAAATCAGTATCTCAACATACATTACTTTTTGCTAAGTCAAAATTTATGCCGGTCAAAGTTTTATCGGGCGTTTTCCAATTAGCGCATTATGCGGTATAATGCTTAACTTCAATGCACAATCCAGCACTTTGAAAAGTACTGTTTTGGCGTGACCAATCAAGTCAATGGCAGAAAATGTGTTTTTTCGCGTTGTTCTTCTTTATGCGCCAAAGTGCGGCATTATGCTCTGTAATTGGAAGACAGGGATCATATCCGGCTCAGGAGTCCCAATCCTTAAACAAATAAGATACAAAAATAAATTAAAAAAAATACGTTTTAATACGTAATCGAAAATAAAACAAATAGAGTTAACAAACGGACATTATTATTTGTGTACATTATGTATATAAGTATATAGATTTCTAGGTTATCAAAACCTATTTAATTTTAAGGTCATTGTACAAATCGCTGATAAAGTTCAAGGGAGTAATCAAATTATTCGTGCTTAGAGCCAAAGTTCTAGACTCATTGCCACACAATAACCACTACGCACTTAGAATTATTAAATTAATAAGTGTATTTTTACCGGTATTGATATTTAATTTAAATTACAGTTGAAACATTGTAAACTTTGAATGAATAAATTAATTAATTTAATAAACTAAACACCTTTTCTATCCTTTATGGAGAAAACAGATTAAATGGTGATGCTGTGACAAGTACTCGTATAATTCGTAAAGTAATTAATTTATTTCATGTAATAAATGAACTCGCAACTTATGGAGAATCAGGCTTTTGGTAAGTTATATTGAGTAACGACGCTCATAAAAAGGCGAAATTTAAAAATAATTTTAATATATAACACATTAATAAATATTAAGAAAAGGCATTTTTTTTAATTTAAATCCCAAGACAGGTCTAAAAGTTACCATATGCCTATTTAAATAAAAAAAAAACAACATAACCGTGACAATTTAAATATAAACGAACATCAAAGAATTTAATCAATTGTTATTAAAACAGTTTGTTTACATTATTCAATATATTAAATCCGTCCAAGAGGAAAATGTCCATCCAGAAAAGCGCCTGTTCACTTAACGCAAAATAAAACTTTCGAAATAAAATTAATTGGATCTTTCTCTTGGTCCCTTTTCCCTGAAAATATTTTTTCGTTACAAAGAGTGCACTTGATGCGATCCTAGCCAAGTTTTAATTAATTGTGTAAAAATACTGTAATATTTATTAAAAGCTCTCGCAGATTTAAAGTTCAAGAATTTTATTAAGGAGCTTTGGCCCATTTGTATGAAAAAAGTTTTGCTTACAGCCACGTAAATCTGTTTTCATTAGTTAAAACTCATTAATCTAATTAAATGAAAAATATTTATAGTGTGGGGGCCTTGATTTACATACCTAGCATGTTTAGTAAATAAATAATTCTAAGCTATCAAAATCAAAAAAAGCCAATTTTTTTC